CTCTCTGTTTGGCCCTAAAAATCTGTCTGCACACCAAACAACTGCTTTGTGCACCAGGTTAAAACTCCCCGCTGTGCAGAAAGAATCAGCTTTTACACAAACCTGCCTCACAAGAGTGATGCATACATATAAAGGGACTGTATGAATACATGTGACGAATATGTTAGTAGTAATTATTGGACATTGATTTTTTTTCCAAAACAGCAAATATATTTGTTCACCATCAATCTTTATCTTAATTTCTAACTTCCTGGTGGAGTGTATTTTATTATATTCTATACCCATCAATCAGCGGCCTCATTTCTTGCAAACAATAGCTGCTTTAGACAAACAGCATCACCAGATGATGAACAGTTTTAGCTTCTGGTGGGGGGGCAAAGTACTGACAGGCATGGGCACCAGCTATGAGCCATGTATGAATCTGTACCTCAAAGCACTCTTGTAATAAATTTGAAACGACAGGTCACTGATGTTCCTACATAGGCTGACTTTTCCTTTAGAAACAGAGGGCAGGCCAAACTGAAAGCAACAGGTGTCTCATTTCCTTCCCAATAAACTGACTTAAATGCGCTGAAACCGGAGCGGTGCGCCTTCTCCCCTCATGTTAAATGACAGGATCCATAAGTTGTTCGCGTGAAGACGCCACCGCGGCTTACCTTCGCACAGACAGCGAGGAGAACCAGGCTAGTCGTCCACAAACAGCTCCCACTCATCACGGACGCAAACAAACTCTTAAGTAATTTCAAAGCGTTGATAGACGGCTCTGATCGCCCGCTCTATGTCCCAGCCTGCCCCAGTCACTCGGGGAGAAAGAGGTCCGCTCGTCTCTCCGCGCTGCGCTCCGGCTCCAGTTTCCAGGAGAGCGAGAGAGGAAAAAGGTAAAAGTCAGCCAAGAGCGGACGGAGACAGCATGACAGTCCACGGTCGCTTCCAGATATTTTGTTCCCCCGGCAAACACGTTGCTGCTAAATTTATGTTTGCATACCAGGCGTGCGTCAGGAAAAGGGTCTCACCCACCTTACATTCTTAAAGAAACACACTCCCGGGTCGTTACGCGCCGATGTGCAGCTCAGCGCAAGACGCGTGCAAAGCTGAAGTGATGCTTTTATGGCTGTGCGTTATGGCTGACTTTCACCGAATGGATGACTTGCATTAGATCACTTGTACTAAGCTGTTTCCCCCCTCACTGTTTACCTGTACTCAGAAGTGCTTGTATTGAAACTTAAACCAATAACTAAATAGATCATGCGCACAGTCATTCAACAGGGGACTCAACCTTCACGCTGAAAACTTTAACTCCAGCTTCTTTTCAACGTTAATCCTAATTTCAAGGCCGTATTCATATCCAGTCACGGGTTTTGGAAAGGTTGACCTCAGTTCAGGGACAACTTCAAACCCACAAAGACTTTTTAGACACATGGTTGCTTCATTGTAGCAGAGCACTAACAGCTCGTTTGTTACATGAGGGGTTGGAATGTTTGCTGCTTTTTAATTATTCAAAGAAATGACTCATCCTGAAGGTAGAAGAGCACAACAGAGGTCCACTCCTCTTTCTTAAACCCCACAGATCCACAGGCTCAAGCTGGAACGTCTTGTGCTGTCGGCTGTGCGCCGGTTAGGGATTGTGCCTCCTTTATCACAGCTTTAGTATGAAATGCATTAGTCTTTCAAGTTAGGCATCCCATGCTGCCAACCATGTGCCATTTAAGGTCAGGAAGAGTTTTATCTAAATCAGGCTCCCACTGCTTAAGAACTGAGATCAACCAGATGGAATGAGACGTTCATAGCCCTGGCCTTTGCTGGCATATGATTGAAATCTGAGGTTGTTTCTGGTTTAGCCTGATGAGACCCATGTCATTGCTTTAATGAATCATATTAAGTGGGTCATATTTTTAGTGGAATTTGATATTGGTCTGTTGTATCCTTGGACATGAACATCACATACTTTCTTAATGTGTGTCCAACCTGGGGTCGGATATTAACCCAAACAGATACAATTCAAGTTGGACCAGGCAAACAGCTAAATCACTGTGGAGGGCATTTTGACCTCATTTTAAAAAATTTTTAGTCTTTTTTTTCTTACTGACTCAGAAAAGAGCCGCAACGTGTTCCACTTCAACAAAGAAGGAATTTTGTTTCATAATTGATGGCTCGGGCTGGCAACTCCTCTTCCGTTTGATCCCGTACCTTCATTAAAATGAGAGACACTCTCGTCCTTTGAAGCCTAGCCCGCAGTGGTGGGGCATTAAGGCTCGCTTGTCGCTTTTGAAGATGTCCAGGGCCACCGTAATAACAACGTTCCTAGAAAATGTCATCTGTCCTCAGCCGAGCTTTAAAGAAATGCCCCCAGAGGCAAAAAATAGCACAGGTATGTATGGTATGAGCTACCTGAATTGCTGCCTGACACGCAGGCTTAAATTCAGCTTAATCTCTATTAAAACACCGAGCACAAGAATGTAAATGTTTACTTCCAAAGGAGAATGAGAGAAGGGGTGGGGGGAGGTTTTTACCTGAAGACTGTGGTGAGAGTTGAAATCATTTCCTTCTCCACCTCGGGGTTAAATGATCATCCTTAATAGCTGCTTGAAACTGTAATCCTACCTGCTAATGTCTTACAAAGAGGAAAGACTCCAGGGCGTCCCGATGAACTCTGACCACCCCTCCTGGTACCCGAAGAGCAGCGCAGACACCCCACAAAGTCAGACCAAGTGGCAGATAATGCTCGGAGACATGAATAGTTTACATTCACTGTGACTGGCGGTGCATGGCTAAGCTACGTCCTCATGTTACTCTCATTGATGGACACATTCACCGGGATCCCTTGCTCAAAGCTCCCATCAGCAGAGTTGCAAAATCACTGCCTTGGGGCGCAAATGTATTTTTAGAGGCTGTACATGCTTCAAAAAGGCATCTGCAAGTTGTTTGCTCAACAGATCTTACAGGACTTCTCTGTGTGGGAAGACAAATAAGAGGCCGAAGCAGCAGCTAATCACAGTCATTTAGCTGGGATCTTTTGTTTGAATGCAACGATGCCCTGAATGTTCAGTGACACTTTTTTTTCTTGCTTCTGGGCGTTTTTAGAAGCGCCTATTACGTCCCATGAACACGCAACCGGCATGACTTTACGAGCAGAAAATGGGGCCACAGTATGTACAGTACATGTATGTGTGGGGTTTTCCTGGCTAAACAAACTCAGAGAAGGTCAGCACTCAGCATATGACTAACCCGGTTGTCTCACTTTAGCTGACTCCAACCTTTAGGTCAGTGATATTTGGCCGGAGAGTCAAAGAGCTGCGTTTCACATGTGTTCAAAGAGGGGGGAGGGAATTTGCCAGATACCACGGAAAGAATATGCCCTTCACAGGACACCAGATTTTGCGTTAAAGAGGTAGCAAGCAGATTTTTAAAGCTTTTTATTTTTCCACCAAAGCAATCATGTTTTGGAAGTATAGTATATGTTTTACTGATCTTCAAGGAGGGGGATTAGACAAGACAGCCGACACCTTTTTGCTATTTACAGGAGGCATCATATAGTAAATTTAGCGGCTTTAAGCTGGTAGCAAGGCTGTCTCCTAAAGTGGTAAAACCTTTTTTAAGTAGCCTGTGACTATGATTATTACTTACTAGACAAGATAAGAGCGGAATCCACCTAAGAACTTCCCAAAATGTCAAACTTCTGCATCACAGAGCACATAAACTCATGTTTTGTGGCTCCTGGTTTCCAAACCCCCCTCTGCACGCAGTTTAACGCCACTTGGTTGTCTCATCAATCCTGATTGCCTTTATGGCTCCGTGGAATTTGGCACGCTATCGGTCCGTGTGTGTTTGTACGTGTGTGTGCTCATGCTTGAGACTCCAAAGGAAACGAAAGCCGTTGCCACTGCTGGGCCTCAGCGTCCCGGGAATGCCGGGCCCGCTAAGGGTAAAGTAACCTGTCTGTCTGTCCGTCTGTCTGTCAGCAAAGATCTGTTTCAGACTTCAGGCGTTGACTTCTATCGGGCATGTTGTGTCCACTGCATGCTGTCTGAGGGCATCATGCCACAAACAACCAGTCAGAAATGTTGACAGTGGGCAAAACCCTCTTTGCGCTGCAGCCAGTGATCAGTCAGCCTGCCTGAGAAACTGAGGGTGTTGTTGTTGTTTTCCTCTCTCTTTCTCTTTAAGGAAGTATCTAACTACATACAAATCTTGGCTTATGGCCGAAGCTAAATATGATGCTTGATGAATAGTCAAAAAATTTGCTTGAACAGCTTAGTGATGAATAACGTTGGCTGGCGTACAATAAGATTAGGGCACCATACTGCAAACATCCAGAATATCCAGTTTTCTGATGAAAGCAGTAACCTGTGATACAGTATCTGATATGTCCTCATCAGATTTTCCATGGATATTACAGCTCAGCAAACACAATCAAGCAGCTATTAGAAAAGAGACAGGGCAGCAGAAAACGACATTTCTGGTGTAGATGAGTCTATTGTTACAGTAAATCTGCTACAGCCCCGATGCTGGCAGGAGATATGAATTGTGTTATTTAGGGCAAAGAGGATGAAATATCTATGGGGAATGGGAAAATAAGTGGAAAAGCATATTTTCACCTTCTCTTTTGTCTTTGTGATAATTTGCCTCGTTTTAGCGCTCTAAAACCCAGGCACTGATTTTACTCATGCTGCTTTTAGAAAGCCTCTGCCTGGCAACAGCTTTCTCTGTTCATCTATACATTTTACACCCATGGATCTGTTGTTTAAAACACTTATTTAAGTCTTGGTTGTTGGGTGTTATCCTTGCTATTGTTGGGTTAGACACAGGGCACATACTTTTATATATATATAAACAGTGCAAGAATACCACTAACTATTTCATCATACCCATATCATTTTAATTTGTAATTATAAACCACACTTTGCAGTTTTTCACCTTTAAAAAAAATTAAACAATCAAAGTTCAAAAACATTCATCACTGAATAAAATGGGGTAAAACTACGACTTCCAGTTAGTATACATGGCATGAATATGGTTATAAAAGTACCTGTAAACACTAGAACGTCCTCAAAGTTGGAGCTACGGGCTACATTAGTAACTTTACATCATGAAATGTAGAAAAGTTCAGAACAGACAGAGAAACTGAAAAATCAGATTGAGAGCTTTCAGAGATGTGAGATCGGTGAGCAGCCAAAACGCAGTTGAAACACAGTTGCAGCAGTAATTATGTTGTGTAGACAGCCAGTCTACCTCTTATCAGCGCTGCAGTAACTATCCTCTGCCATGGCCACTGCAGTGCACTACTCCACCATATTAGCTTCGAAAAGCAGACGGGGCTATGCCTTTCGACTTGGCACATGAGATATCAATGGGAATTAGAGTTTGTGTGACACTGCGCTACGTCATCCTCTGTGCACAGAGTCCAAGCCAAGAAACCTTCCTTTGCATTCAGCACAAAAGTGCCAGCTTAAACTTCACTGAAGGTGAAAAGAATACTGACAAATATGAAGACTTTTGATGGTAACATGGATACCTCAAATATAAAGAAACACTGGCTGACACGGTGACTCCAATAATCCCCCAGAATAGCAGAATATTCTAGCATGGCAACGACACCCTGCCAAAATCAGAGAGAGCTTCTGAAGACAAAAAAATCTTGAAAACTATGAATTTGGCCAGTTACGTTGTCTGACATGAATCCAATAAGACACCTTAGAGCTAAGAGTAAATATAAGGCCTCCAGAACATAAAGGATGCAGAACATGCCTCCAGAAATGCGTGCACTATCGAGATCCTCAGTGATGAGGAGGATGGAGTCTGTCATTATAAACACGGGGGACATATCAAGTACAGAAAAAAAGAAAGATTAGATCTCAGAGATGAAATGTATACTGACCTTGTTGTTGGGCCGTCTTACTGCTGTGGAGCGCCACCAAGAGAAACCAAACCCCTCCATTCAGCTTGGAGATAACATTTAAGGAATTTACTTTAATGTATGCACAAAAGCAAATTACATCAAAAGTCTGTTTCCTTCTAGGATTAATTTATAAACTTACCCTACAGGTTAAAGCCTTTTGAATAAGTC